GGCACAAGTTAAAACGTGACACAAAAAGCGAGTATAGATTCAAATGCCCCCAGATTATTTCACGTGGAGTCAGAATTTATTCTCACTATCATAAGTTTATATTCAGCATATGTGGACCACTGATAAGTCTAGATTGAATATGCGTGAATCTCAAAAGATTATATTATACGTGAAGTTTCTTGAGTTATATAATGTCTCAAAAAGTCAGATATGCGTGTATAAGGGTGTTGAGTTACATAGCTTCTACATAGATAGTTCATGGCAATTTAGGATCAAAAGCTCTTGCTTGATCATGGATCGTAGCAAATGACCAGTTCTATAGGATATCAAAGTTTCTAACATAACTCATTTGCAAATATTCCTACACTTAAATTGAGTTTCCAGAAAGATTCAAGAACGTTAAAAAATGTCATTCCTCATCAATGCTGCGTTAAAAGAGAAACCGTTTAATAGCTACTGAGGCACTAAAGAGCTGAACTCAATATTAGATCCAAAAAACGGAACAAGTGGCGAAAGTTAAGTTTAGTAAAGAGTGGGAAGCGTATAGAGATTCAATATTCTTCATACAATTTAGAGAAGACAAGCATCTAAGGTGTGGCTGTGTGCAACAAATGACATTATAGGCCAAACTGATGAGAAAGACAACACTTGGTGAGAGTATAAGAAGATTGTAGTTCTAAAAGATCTATAAAAGAACTTTTAATATGCTGTAAGCGCCATGCAACACTGAGTTCATTAGTTTAACAAGTAAATGAAAGAAGTTGAACTATATTAATATGACTGTCAACCTTAAATTAGAGTAACTGTGGAAGTTTGTCTCTTGCAAGAGACCATATAGAGTCATCATCCTCTAATCTTTTCCAGGTCAAAGCAACCTTCTACTGATGGAAATTGAAAGATTATCATGAATGTAACGCAAAGAAATGACAAAAATTCTACTTCCAAGAATGTAAAAGACATGTGCCTATTTACAGTTCAACAGAAATGTATGAGATCTGATCTGTCAAGATGTCTATGCAGACTGTGCAACATAAAGATGCTAGGTAGAGTAAAATTAAACAATAGAAAAAGTGTGCAAAGCTAAAATCAATTATAAGATCAACGGTTAGACTGTAAGATATTCTTGACTTGCTCAGTGAGCTTTTTAAGATAAGAATGGTGTGAAAATTGTTTATATAACATACCAAAAAACATAACAGAAAAAATCATATATCCCTGAAGCCACCACATTACATACCAAAATAGATAAGAGAATAAAAAGATCTATATCGATGAAACCACCACCAATAAAATAGGGAAGTCTCCAAGGGGAAGGAAAGACAAATCTAGGCTTGGTAAGAACGCTGACACCGAGCTATATTAACTTCGGACACTATACCTTAAGAAGCTGCGACAAAGTATAAAGGTGGCCTTAGTTACACAAGGATGTATGAGCTTATTACAAAAGAAAGTAACAAAAGAACCTCAAGGGAAGAAGAAGTCACTACGATGCTTCTTAGTAGGATAAAAAGGTTAGCAGTTTCTTTAGAGGTGGAAAATGCAACTTCCTTTTGGAGTCATTTTCAACTTACTAACTTGATAGATTTAGATATATCGTGTGAGCCTGTGACATTTTGGGACATAATGGTCGAGAATACAGAAAGACTTGTTCTCCAACAAGAGGAGTGCAGTGTCTTCCTGATATGGTGTACATCTCATTCAAATGATTTGGTAGCCAATTTTGTTGACTTGGTTTGGTTTGATAGCCAATCTTGTTGAAATTGTGAAAAAGGTGTGCAAATTGTCAAATATTGTAGGCTTTAGAGAGTGAGGTTTTGACTATAAAAGGAGAGTTTTAACTCTAATTTCTACACACCAACAAAGAGAGAAAAGAGAGAGAACAAGGTATTCCATAAACTATAAGAAAATAGTTTGTGAAGAAAAATAGAGTGAGAGATATTGTAGTGAGGTGCAAAAATCAAAAAAGTGTTTATTTCTTTTGAGGGTGTAGTAGTCTTAGGAGTATTTTTACTCGTTACTATATAGTGTAAAATTCCTCGCTATAGTGATATCAATTGCTCTTCTTGACCGTGTTTTTTCCCTTATTCAGAAGGGTTTCCACGTAAAATCTTGGTGTCATTATTGCTGCATTTCTATTCTTGCTGATTTAACCATAACTTAGTGTTCTGCGTTTATCACTAATACCGTGAATATTATTTTACGGGGTTTATTCCCAATACTTCCCATGACCCGTTTCTTATGTTCGAATATGTAACTAGCATCATAGCCAATGAATGCCCTCTACTCTGGAGAAGAAGCTGGTATCGGAAAACCTTGGTGAATTGAGGTTGAGTAGACTGTTTGGATACTTAAATGATTTATAAGTGTCGACACTACACACTCTTAATATATCCACAAAAAGGGGAAGCCACAGTCAATTTCTACAACAACAACAACAACAAATTCGGTGTAATCCCACAAGTGCGGTCTGGGGAGGGTAATGTGTACGCATACCTTACCCCTACCTTGTAAAGTTAGGGGTCCAATAGATGCCACTGTCAAATTCTAATTCTGAAAATAAGTCATATTCTATGAACCTGGAATCCTGATACAAATGAACTAGAAATCTTAAAATCCATTAACTCCCTCCTCAAGCATGAGATCTCATATTATCATCAAAAGAGAATTATGAAGCACAGAAGTAAGTTTCTTCCGTTACAGATTCTCAGTAATGCAATGCAGCTGACACAACATATAGCAAGAAGCGATAGCAATATCCAGCATTCTCCTTAGTAAAAAAAAATAACTTGGCCACATACTGTAAGACAAAACCTTATTCATATTGTACCAAACAATGTAATTCAGAAGCTAGAATACCAGTTTGAAGAAGCAAAAGAATGCTTCCTCATTGAATTAAAAGGCAAGAATGAACAAAAATTAAAAGGCAGGATTGAAAATTGAAAGAGCATGAAAAAGAGTTAGCAGCTCCCTTTATTACACATTATTCCTCTTCAGCACCTTCCTCTGCAAAACTTAGAACTTGACAGACTGATGGCTCCTTATCTTCATCACTACTGAAAAACGATTTCTTGCCTATCAACTCTATCATTCTTTTAGCAGGTCCAGAATCCCTAGGAGTCTCATTGACACACCGAGCAATCCTAATTCGCGGGAGCAAATCAGGCTTCACAGTAATGCTTAGTGGAGATTTCTCACTCTCTGTACTTCCATGAACTACTATCTCACTAGGAATTTCCCATCTCTTTTTCACCCTACTTTCAGTACCCAAATTCTTGCTCTCAGTTTGAGATACACGCGTTTTCCCTACAGATAACGATAGTTTCTTATCATTTCTCTTACTCTCATCCTTATCATTCTCAGGTAAAGACCTCTTTCTCACTACTGATGACTGAGTTGTACTCTGATTGTACCTACTAGCCACAACCCTCCCCGGCCTCTGTGGCTTCTTGTTAGCAGTAGCAGACTTTTCGACATCTTTAAACAACTTCTTTGGCTGAACTGAACTCAGAAATCCATCATCTTTTTTCGAATTCTTCTTTGATGCAATTGTAGTAACTGCCTGCCTCGTTGTAACCATTGTTCTTGCTGCAGCTTTTCTTGATTTGGGACTAAGGCTTGAACTTTTTCCCTCTTCTTCAATCTCTTGAAGCTTCCAAAAACACGACTTTCGCCTGTTTTGTATTGGCTGAACAGGTGTTATAATCATCTCTTGCTTTCCCAATTGTCGTGCCTTTGTTGTCCCTGCTAGAATATCTGATGGCCCCATACTCAACCCTCGCCGCCGCGTTCCAGTAAAAATCTCAGAAGGTCCTAAACTAAGGCCCCTTCTCTGCTCCGCCTTTGTTCTTGCACTCATTGATGTACGACGCTCTTCAGTCTTAATAACACTTTGTTTTGGCTCCATAAACTTTGCTGCCACAACCCTTCCTCGCTTTTCAACAGTCTTAGCAACATCTTTTTCAGCCTTTTCAATTCTCAAAGCCTCTAATCTTGAATTCAACCTACTAATCTCCATCTCAATTTCTTCAATTTCCACATCTATTTTCTTCTCATCACGGAAATCATTTTCCTTTCCGCTCTTTCTAGCCGCCATCTCATCAAAACCCTGTTTGGAATTGAGCTTGTTCGGCTTGAGTCTTGAATTTTCCAGAGCTCCATTAGGGTTAAGTGGCTTTATGGGTAACGGAGATGAGAGATTAACAGATGAATTCTCAAATAAAGGAGTTTGATTTTCCTTACTTGAAAAATCAGATTCAAAGGAATCTGATGGCCTAACCAAAAGGGGTTTCAGAGGAGACCAAGAACGTTTCAGTGAAGATAAATCTTCAGAATCTCCATTATCAAATGCGGCATTGTTCCATATCTGAACATCTGCTGGGTTAATCCCTTCTGGGTATTGTAATACACTCATTTTTCTCAATTGGGTTTCAAAAATATACCCAGAAGAAGTGAAAAAAATAAGAATCTTGGAGATTTCTTGATGTAGAGGAAGAGAGAGGGAGATGAGAAAGTTGGTTCTGAATAAGGGAAAATTCTTTCAGGTTTTTGTATTTTCAAGTTTTTGACCGTTGGGACAGGGAAATTAAACGTTGGATTGTCCGCTCCATCCTGGCCGTTGAATATTAAACGGCTCTCATTGACGCTCCGATTTGATTTTAAAGGCTAAATATTGGGTAGAAAATGGAGGTTAAGTTCTGATTTAACATCATGCTCACGCTCCTTCTTCCTTTAGCGGAATGATAAAATACGTCCAATGTCGTCAATTTTTTTTTTTTTTAAAGGCTACTTTATATTAACTAAAATGTTATAGCTCAATCTAATCAAATTCCAGATGTCAAGGCCCAGTCACAATTTAGTTTTCAGTTAGGCGTAATGAAATAAAAAGTTGACCATAAGGAGTTTGATAAATCAAACTCATGCTTAATTTATGTGACGCATTTTTTTTGGTAACTAACGTTTTGCATTAATCACCTTTGAAAACTTTATAAAGCCATAGTTAATCAAACAGAATTAGCTATATCAAAAAAAATATATCTATCTTTTCTTACTACTTCTATATACAAGGAGCTCTCAACTAAAACAAAATTCTTAAACATATAAAACGTAAAATTATGTACAAACTCTTTTACTCTAGGACCTGCTCTAATATAATAGATATAGACAATTTCCCGTACAATTGTTTCCCAACTTCTAGTCTTCTTTTCAAACACTCTATTGTTCCTTTCCATCCATATAGCATATATACATTCTGCATACACCAATTTGAAAATTTGAGCTTGCTGTGATTTCCCTTTAGCACTTTTGATAGCCCAGTCAACATGTTGATTCCATTCTTCTGTTGTTTGCTGCCATTTTAACCATTTTTGCAATCTCCTCCATATAGCTTTAGCAAAGTCACATTCAACAAACAAATGTTCTCTTGTTTCCAGTTCTGCTTGACATAATGAGTAAGTGGTTTCCACTGTCATGCCCCATCTCATTAGTCTATCTGTTGTTGCCAATCTCCCCTGTAAATATAACCACATTATAAAGCTTACTTTTGGTCTTGCATCATTTTTGAACATAAGACTCTTCCAGATTACTGGCCTCATTTCAGGAAGCAGCTTATAGTAGATAGTGTTTGTCAAACTCCTTGTGGTCTTGTTTCCAGGTATCAAATGCAACTTGTTCTTCGATTCCAATATCTTCCTAGTAATCCAACTTGCTTGTGCTGGAACTATTGTTTCCATCAGTGGCTTTCCTTTGATGTAATAAGCATGAATCCATCTAATCCACATCTTGTCTTGTTTATGAGCTACATCCCAGCATGTCTTGATTTGAGCAGCTTGGTTCCATAACTTTATGTTGATGATACCTATTCCTCCCATAGACTTGGGCATACATACTCTATCCCATGCTATCAGAGCTTTCTTGGTAATTGAATTAATACCTGACCACAGATAGCTTCTGCAATAAGCATATATAGTCTTCAATACCTTCGAAGGAATATGGAATAGTTGAGCCCAATATGCTTGCATACCAAACAGAACTGATTTCACTAATTGAGTTCTCCCTGCATATGATAGTTTCTTTGATGTCCATGAAGTGATTCTGGCTGTAATTTTCTCTATTAAAGGCTGCCATTGCAATAGAGAAATCTTCTTTGTAGATAAAGGCACTCCCAAATATTTAAAAGGTAGATTCCCATGGACAAACCCCAAATGCTTCAGTATATTATCCTGCTCTTCCTTCCTAACTCCTCCAAAATATACACAACTCTTCCCAAGATTAGCTTGCAATCCTGAAGTTGCAGAGAAAATCCTGAAATATTCATAGAGTGCAGTAATAGAAGGAAGGTTTCCTTTGGCAAACAACAGTAGATCATCTGTAAAACATAGGTGTGTGATACCTAGCTTTGCACATTTTGGATGAAATTGATACCTCTTATCCTCTTTCAATTCATTAAGTAGTCTACTCGGATACTCCATAGCTATTGTAAATAGAAAAGGAGATATTGGATCCCCTTGTCTAAGTCCTCTAGCTGCATTGAAGGGCTTACTTTGTTCATCATTGATCACCATAGTATAGTTTATAGTTTGAACATACTCCATTATCCAAAACACAAATTGGTCAGGGAAACCAAGCTCATTTAACATCTGTCTCACAAAGGTCCATTCAACAGAATCGTATGCTTTTTGTAAATCAATTTTTATCATGCATCTGGGTGATAAATTCTTCCTTGTATAATCTTTTACTAGCTCATGGGCAAGGAAGATGTTGTCAGCTATTTTTCTCCCTAGAATGAATCCAGCCTGGGCTTCACATATGATGTCTGGAACCACTTCTTGCAATCTGGAGGCAAGTATTTTGGCAATTATTTTATATAGCACAGTACAACATGTAATAGGCCTATACTCCTTCACAATGTTTGGCTTGACAATTTTTGGAACTAGTGTGATAGCAATACAATTAATTGCCCTTTAAAGTCTCCCAGTTCAGAAGAAATCCTTAACAACATCAATAACTTCTGTCTTCACAAGAGGCCATACTTTTATGAAGAAGTAAGCATTGTACCCATCAACTCCAGGAGATTTATCATTTGCTATTAAAGATAGCCCATCATATATCTCCTTTTCTGTTACTTCTGCACATAATCTAATCCTTTGTTGCTGAGCAATGACTGGACCTTTTCTCATAGTTTGTTTGTTAACTGCTGGCAATACATGAGCTGCAGAACCCATCAAGCTTTTGTAGAACTTGATTATCTCTTCTCTGATTTCCTCTGGATCCACAAGTTTTCTGTTATCAAGAGATGTAAGTTTTGTAATCTGCTTCGTTTGAGTCCTCTCTTTAATTAATGCTGAGAAATACTTGTTGTTTGAGTCTCCAAGCTTGATCCAATACTTGCTTTAGCTTTCTATTGTAAGGCACTCTCTTCCACAAATGACCATTTTTCAGCTCCTGTAACAATTTTCTTTCTTCTGCAAGTAGGTCTATGTTATTCTTTAATTGAATTTGTTCCTGAGTGCTCTTAAAGTCCTGTCTTGCCTTCTTTATTTTCTGCTTGATGAACTTAAACTCTTCATTATTCAGTTTCCTCAAGACTGTTCTAAGGTTCTTCAATTTCATCCAAATGTTTTTCATGTTGTTTGTGGAAGATGTGTTCTGCCATATTTCTTCTACAATCTTCATGAAATCTTTATGCTCAACCCATATATTGAAAAACTTGAAAGAAACTTTGATGTTATAATTTGCAGATACCATTGTTAGTAATATAGGTGCATGATCAGAAATGAAAGGATTATCATATTACATTATCACATGTCCCCAAGTCATCATCCATTTATGGTCTCCAAAAGCCCTATCCAATTTGCTATATATTCTATCTGTGTTCAACTATTTGTTGGACCATGTATAGTAGTTCCCACTCCACTAAACTTCTGTTAGTAAAAGTTTATGCATGCACTCAGAGTAATCTTTGATTTCCTTATAAGTGATTGGATTGCCAAACAGTCTATCATCTTGATGCAGTATTGCATTGAAATCTCCAGCAACAAGCCATGATTTTTTAATGCCCACAACCACTTCTTTCAGATGCTCCCACAATGATCTCCTGTGTTCTATAGTATTGAAGCCATATACAATGGTACGAAAGCAATTGATGCCTCCTATCCTGCTTGTGACTTCACAATGTAGTATTTGTGCTTCAGCTCTCACCATCTTAACTTCACACCATTGTGAATCCCAAACCAGCCAGATTCTTCCATTAACTGCAGCCTGATAGTTGTCATATACCTTCCATGTTGGATCAATTTTGTCCCTGATCTTCTTAGAGTTATGTTCCTTTACTTTTGTTTCTATGAGCTCAACTAATCTATTTTTTTTGTTTTTAAGTAATTCCTCAGTTTCTTTTGTTTATACCTCTTATTTATTTCCCTAACATTCCATATTAACCAATTCATCATGTAGTTTTGGATCCTCCCCCTCTGTCTAGAGGTAGGTCTTGCTCTTTACTATATCCTCCATATAGCACTCCAAAACCATTTTTTATAGGAACAAAACATAATATGGGAAAGTTCTGAAGGTTGAACTCAGGGCTTTCAATAGCCTTCCCTTTATTCTTTCCTGTTTACTCTTCTATTCTATTTTCAGGAGTAACATTCATCTTCTCATTTACTTGCTGGATCTGCTACTTATTCTCCATTATTTGCTCTACTTGTTCCTCAACTGGCAGAGTTGGTTGCGTAGGACCTTTGCATCTCCATTCCTATGTGATAGTTTTGTTCCTCTTCCGTCTATGTTGAACATCCTTTTGGCCATCACCTACATCCTTTTCCCTACATTTGTGTCCAACTACTTGACAAACTCCACAAAATTCTGGCTTCCAA